ATTTATAACCTAAATTTTCTACCTTCTTTGATAACGCCTTAATAGTGTCTTTCAACAATTGAAAATCCTTATTTGATATGGCATTGACTTCTTCTTAAACGTTTTCTTGAGAGCACTTTTCTGCTATTATTGCATCAGTTTTGAGTTCTTCCAATATTTTAGGATCCCTTTGAATGATAATTGATCTTAAGGATGGCTTACGTCCTTTATTTGTGATTCTTATAAGCGAATGACTTGGAATATCCTGGGTGTCTTGCTATAATTTGTAACCTTTTACGACATTATACTGACTTCTCAGCAGGTAACTGCGCAAGTAAGATGTCATCATCTTCATAAGCAGCCCCCAAAAGTGACTGAGGAATAGAAATATGGCCACTTGGTCTTCTTCCGACCTGCAGTAAAACGCTTGTCAAAGCGGGGCGTCCGTTTGGCTGTGCGGGATGTACAAGTTTGCAGCCACGTCCGGTCAGAATGGGGGACGTTAAATCCGATGCCTCGTGTAAAGAAAGTGCAACGCTCTTTGCACGTTAAAAACCCTTGCAACAACTCTTTGAGGGGTCCGTATGTGGCCTGGTGCAAGGCAAACTTTCTGTCCCTTTCAAATATACCCTAATTTTCCAGTGGCAGTCCAAATTGCCTCGGCCATCATCCCGGATGGCCTCTATTACAAGACCTACCTATCGTATTTATTGTTAACTTGTTCTCGTCCTGAACATGCATGAAATATTTGCCACTGGACGTTAAGCAATCAAAAATCAATCAATCTTCATAAGCGTTTTTAAATCTTTTACTTAAAGAATTTTGAAGGGCATCAGAATTGTTTTGAATTTCATCAGTAAAACCTTCTTACCAATATGTTATTCCTCTAAAAAGTCTTTGGACCTATTTCATTGTTTTAGCCAAATGTCTAGTTTGGTACAGCCAATGTACCTGTTTGATTGTATGATAACTTATGGTAAGTTTACCTCTTTGTTAGCTACAGGTAAGTTATTCATGGATTGTTGTTTCTAGTTGAATTTCTTCGTGATGGGTTTCTAATTGAACTTCTTCGTGTTGGGTTTCTAATTGAACTTCTTCGTTTTGAATTTCTTCTCGAATTTGTTCCAATGGTGTACTTGAGATACTTGTGATCTCAATAAGTAGTTTGATGGTCCATTTAGTGGCATTTAGTTTCTTTAGGTCGCCTCAATCATAAATCTGTTATGCTGTTTGGGAGGATGTTTGTCAGCTTTCAAAAATGGACAAGTTCTTTTTAAAATCGGTCTTTATTTCCGTAAATCCAAAGATCGAATAGCCACATACATATATTCATAAAACAATAATCAATCATTATTATGTTTACAATTATAAAATATTGCAGTCTCACACAAATTAAGACATTTGAGTAAAATAAAATAACTATTCAGGGGGACTAACTCGCTATTTCTAATATTCTATTCAAATAGGGGGAATTTAGCTAAATGGCTTTATTTGCTCATATGTTAACTTCATGATCATTTGGAACAAATTAAATAAGGGAAAATAAGTGCTATTTAAACAAAATCTTAAAGTCTAGAACAAATTAATTTCTTTCAATCATTATATTCTCTAATTGAAATCCTAGCTTATCTTAACTTGAACTGTTTAACTTCAAATGTTTTCTTCTAAAACCGTTTTTCTGTCACGTTGTGCTTGTCAACAACGGTTTGTGAATGAAATAACACGATTCATTTGTACGGTGTGATACCGTGAGGTTTTGGATTTTTCAAACAAGTTGATAATACACCTGTCCGGTATTCTAAATTTTCATGGCTCTTTATTTACAAAATATAATTTTTGGACGTCAGAATCAAAGTATGATCCCATTATGATGTTTGTTTTATCTCAGAATTGCAAATTTCTGCTCCGACGCATGAGGCACATGCATTCTAATCAAGTTAACCATTGTATCCAAGAGTTTTGATGGGGGATTTTGAGACCCTGATGTTTCTTTCCCAAACGATGTTTTCTTCAAAACTTAAACATGTGATTGGTTCAGCGCTTGGTACCCAACCCTTCCGCTAATATCTTCCTCATTACAGAATCCAGTACTTTGAGACACTTAACCCAACCCTTTCGCTGATCTCTTCTTCATAACAGAATCCAGTACTTTGTGACACTTAAAATGGTAAGATTACTAATTCATCACTGGATAATCGAATTTGTCCTAGCGTAAGACCACAAACAACTTATACGATGACAGTGAATGGTTTTCTTTTCCATTAGCAATTTTCATTCTGTCTGGGAAATATGGCAAAGCTATATCTCTGATACTGGAATAAACTGTGGTACTGCAGACTCTATTAAATTAGTAATTTCTTCAGACGATCCCCAAAGGTGACTGGGAAATAGAAATATGGTCAATTGATCTTCTTCCGACCGGCAGTAAAACACTTGCCAAAGTGGCGCGACCGTTTGGGTGTGCAGGATGTACAAGTTTGCAGCCACGTCCGGTCAGAATGGGGACGTTTAATCCGATGCCTCGTGTAAAGAGAGTGATAAGCTCTTTGCACGCTAGGAACCCTTGAAATAACTCTTTGAGGTGTCCGTAGGTGGCCTGTTGCAAGGCAAAATTTCCGTCACTATCCAATGTGCCCTCATGTTCCAGTGGAAGTCCAAATTTCCCTGACCATCATCCCGGATGGCCTCTATTACAAGACCTATCTATTGTATTTATTGTTAACTTGTTCTCGTCCTGAACATGCATTAAGTATTTGCCACTGGACGTTAAGCAACCAACAATCAATCAATCAATCCTTCAACAAACAGTAGTCAACACACGAAGATATAAGATTTGTCATAGAAAAGCAAAACGAATTGGTCAACTGCTCAATGTTCTGTTTTTGTTTTGTAGAAAATCCCTCTTTCAAAGGATCATTTCGCACAAATTCGAAAACAAAATAAAAAACCTTCTTGATCTCGTCGAATTTTCACAAGCGTAATGTATCCAGTGTCTACCATTAGCACATACCACACCTCTTATTAGAACTTTGCATTTATATTTCAGACGGGTCTAATGTTAAATACAATTGTCAACTACATTCATGCATTTTTAATGGAATATCCTTTTGCTCATCTCCATCAAGATTTCCAGAAAAGTGAACTGAATCCACTGAAGACTACCGACATACCCTCAAGTTAATTTTATGAAAAGAACAATATTCCCGTCTTTTAAAATAAAATAATCATAATTCGTAATTGAAGATGATCAAAACTTCTTTATTATCTATTCGGAGTAAGATATAAAAAAATAATATAGGACAGTCCAACAGACAACACCAACGATTGGCGCTTCCAATATTCAAAATAAAAGTGAATACAAAGACAAATTACGATTTGGTATTGACGTAAACTTTTCTGTTGTTAAAAACGTTTTACGTGGACACAAAGAACCCTGGTCGTATTTAAAACATGTGTCAGAACAGTTTACTGACAAGATTTTTATAAGTTCAATAAGATCGTTAACGTGCGCATACAATTTAAGATAGCCAAAATAATATCGGTGCTAAAGGAAGCTAACCAAGGTCACCACAGCTGAAGGTGAATTAATACTGATCAAGAATAAAATTTTTTTTTAAAAGTTACAAGTTACACTCCGAATATGATTCATTTATTATTTTGAATCTATTGAAATTGCAAGCATTTCTGAGGTGTTACTAAATATATGAATCGTCAGTTCTATTGAATACTTCGTTATAAATAAGTAAGAAGACCATCACTATACTCGTTACATTTGAACCAAAAACTCGTGATTCCAAGCTTACAAGACATAAGAATGTATGACGGCTAAGTTGTTACACTTCTTAACCATGTTAAAGAATCAATAAACTTAATGAAATTTCCTGAATTCAAATATTTAAGTTTAACAAAATAATGTCAATATACTGTTAATATTTACAACACAAAAATGTAAAAACATCTCATTATTTTTTATGCACTAATAATAGACAACGTACTTTCAGGAAATAATATTTTAATGTGGTCATATACATACATCTTCAATACACTTTTAATCAATACACGTCTGAATCGTTACAAAGTAAATTATCAACCAATTATTGATAAACTGCAGTTTGAATAGACGTGTTACGAAAAGTTATATACTCGACGGTGAGGTTGACAAATTAGGACTTTAAATGTTGGGACTGTGTCAAAACAGATGAAATTAAATTTGCGTGATGTTAACTAGATATCCTACATACTTCTTGACTCATATAAAACTCAAATAACCATTTTCTGATATCATTGCTTGTTATTATAGGATGGGAAGGATTATTATATACAAAATCACGTCAAACGTCTAATAAGAGGTAGTGAGGCCCTAGGGGTTAGGAGTTTATTACCCAAAACGGGTACCCTCTTCTGCTGATCGCCTGTACGTCCACCCACTTGCCAGTTGAGTTTCATTACATTGAATGATAAGTCGGTTCAGCATTGAGCACAACCCTTCTGTACAACAGTTCTGACAAAGGGTAAACACGCCATTAATTAAATGTCCGTATCTATTGAGTTCGAAAAAATTAAAAATAGAAAGTTGCTTAACTTCTTTAGAGTTGACGAGGGATTTTTACTCTCATCCAACACTCCTTTTTCTCTGCTTTTCTGCGGGATTTTATACCATATTTGCTATGCCATCGCCTCCTGTTAGTGTCCCAAAATATAAAAAAGAAGAAATATTATGGTGTATATCATTTTTATTCTTCACGAAATAATTGTCATTGAATATTTGTTCCATAAGGAATATTTATAGTGAAATTATCTATGTTAAAGTTTTCAAAAGGACGTTTGTTATAAGAAATAAATATACGCGGACATCATGACTATAAAGTTTAAACCCAAGAATTAATGGACAAACAGGTAATTTAAATCTTTAAATCACTGATATGTTTTGATACGATACCAGCATTTAAAGTCTAATTTGTCAACCTCTGTCGAGTATATACAATATCGAAACACGTCTTATGGAAACGCGGATGATTATTCTTATTTAAAGATTTTAGTCACATGTTATTCAAGGTTAAATTGTGTGATTGATGTGTCTGGAATATATATACAGGAATATGTAAGTAAAAGAGTAGTATGATTTATTTTGTTTTCGAAACAAGATTGTAATTTTAAGACATGCGGATACAACTATTCAAACACTAAATAATGTAACCAATAACTACTTACAAATTATTCAGTCTATTGACTGATGTAGCATTTGAAAAGTATAATTGTCTACAGGGAAATCATTAGTCATGCAATCAGAAAATATGGATCATGTTTTAGGTCATAAATTTGGAGAAAAAGTATACATTTTAACTACATGCATAACTGAAGTTAAAACTTTTTTTCAATTAGAGTTGAAATTATATTTATAAACACCTCGTCTTGAACTTTCTATTCAAATGGTATTTGTGAGAATTCCTGGTAAAGATACTTCCTCATAAATGCTTACGACGAATTTTTATTCTTATAAATAGGTTTTTCAATACTGGATTGTTTTGTGATTTTGTTTTTATGAAAAAGAAAGGATTCACTGATTGTCAATAAATGTGTTTTGTGCTATACCAGTAATTTTTAAGGTAGGTATGGCATGGTATTGGTTGCACAAATTTGATATATTTCATTAAAATGCAATATTTCTTATTCAATTGGTATATTTCTTCATTTAAATGCAATATTTTTTTATTTGAATGGTATATTTTTTCATTTAAATGCAATATTTTTTATTCAGATGGTATAATTTTTCATTCAAATGGTATAATTTTTCATTCAAATGGTATAATTTTCGTTCAAATGCAATATTTTTTTATTCAATTGGTATAAAATGTCATTTGAATGCAATATTTTTTATTCAATTGGTATAGTAGTTTTTTTATTTATATGCAATAATTGCATTATGGAAAATTCTTTATCTTTGTCATAAGGTCACATTTGCAACAACGTTTGTGATTGGTCGGTAATTGTTTGGATTTCTCCCCTTTCTTTCTGACCGAGAATTAAAAAACGCGTCAGAATATCGCCCCTCTAACTAAATTTGGCGTTCGTGCGAGTTCGTGCACTGGCTGTTTATGCCAATAATGGCCAGGACGAGCAAAAAAAAGCGAGTGACAAGTAATAGTTCTCGTCTCCGAATCCCTTAAATAGATTTTTTTCAAGCCCCACAGTAGTTCTATTATTACTATATGTCTTTGCATAAATAAGTATGCAGGGCATATTTCAAAACATATTTTATCTTCAGGACTTTTAAATGATTTACTTTTCAATACTGCATTGGGAAGGGGGTATACAAGTTTATTTTGTGACACATTATATAATATAATTCGGTATCCAACAAATTAAATGATTGTACGTTTAGCTATTATCTAGACCCGTACAAAATGTATATAATTAGACACATTTAACAGGGGCGGATCCAAAACCTCGGGTGTCTAGAGGGGGGGGGGGGGGGAGAGTAGGTTCCAATTTAGATATTTTTATAGAGATGTCTATATGCGATTATTGGCAGTAATGGTTATGGTGTGTGTGTGAGGGTAGGGGTTTCAGATCAAAGATCGTTTCTATAATTCTATATCTTTTTGTTTTTACAATTTCACTCTATTCTTTATCCTTTGATCTCTATTATATTTGTCCTAAACATGCGTGACATATTTGCAACTGGACATAAGGCAACCAAAAGTCAATCAACGTATTCTGTATATTTAATCATTTCTTTATTATGTTATCTATAGGTTTGGTCCCGCATCTATTTTTTTGCACATTAGGGACGACATCAAAAGTTCAATATAGGATAAAAAAAAAAACTTAATTCATATAGTTTTTTTCACTGACCCCCTTCTTAACTTCATTTGGGAAAAATTGATTGACCAATAAGGATATATATAAAATCGATGTTAATTAAACAAAACTTGCAGCAATTTTGACCCCCCCCCCCCCCCCCCCCCCCCCCCAAAAAAAAAAAAAAAAAAAACTATTTGAATTAAGTTTTTTATCCTTCATTGATTTTCTGATGTCGTCCCTTATCGGTTACTTATCCTCTCTATGTAAACCCAATTCATGTCCTGATAAATGGTGACTCATGCATAGCATCATATGTGGTTATTAAAACAAGAAACATATTCATATTATAATAATTAATGTATGCTAGGACTTATAGATAGATGTCATTAGTCCCAGGTCATGTAATAAAGTAGGTCTTATAAAAATACAATAGCATTTTAATTTTTGATGATTATATATATGTTTATATATTTAATAATGCCATTTTTTTGAAAAAAGGGTAGGGGCAAGGCGTTTTTAAAACATATCAATGGGGCGCGTCTTTTTTTTTTTATTCTTCGGAAGTGAGCTAGAAGAAGTCCATATCTGGTTTTTTTTTTGCATTGGGAAGATCTTCTGGCTCTCTTCCACCTCTTCTTTTTTGATAGGTTGACGGCAGAGGCACATAACAAGCATGGCGTCGTTTAGTCTAAATGAAATTAATAAATTTATGAATGCAGATATATTAGAATGTGAGCTGTTTTATAAACGTTTTTATAGTATGACAGCCTTAGGACATCCCTGTAGGACGATAAGCTGGATAAATATAAGAACTACACGGACAATAACAGTTAAGGGACGATTATTTGATATTCTAGGGAAGGAATTTTGATTGATTGGTGTTTAACGCTACTTTCAACACTATTGGGCTATCCCGTGGTGGTCAGTTTAAATTTATAGATGAAGGATGGGGAAGGGAAGAGAGGACATTATTATTCAGTTCAATCTGTCGCTAATCATGCCTATTTTTCAGCTCTTACCAGGCAACCATATTCATATATGAAATCCTTCTGTCCCCCACCCCAACAAATAAATAAATATCAAATGATTTTCCTCTTATTTAACATTATTTCATGCTTGTTCAGAAAAGTTTAGAAGTCACGTATATAATATATAAATGAAGAGATGGAATATGATTGCTAATAAGGCAACTATCCACCGGAGTTCAAATATGAAGTGGATGTAAGCAATTATAGATAAGATAAGATCGGAAAAATTTATTTTAAGTCGGGCTACATAAAATACTACAAACATAAGCTCTGTAGAGCTTTTTGCCGTCATGTAGACATATTCTTTTTGTAGACAATCGTCAGGCCTTCAACAATGACGAAAACCTGAAACTGTAAAGTCGTCTATAAAAGGTCCGACATGAAAAGTGTGAACAATTCAAAAAAACTAACAGCCTATATATACATAACAAAACAATTTACAAAATATCAAATATGAGTCGAGACAGGAACCAACGACAACCACTAAACTACAGGCTCCATCCCTGGGACAGGCAAATAAAGAATATGGCAGGTTGGATATAAAAACGAAGATGTGGTATGATTGCAAATGAGACAACTCTCCACAAGAGATCAAATGACACAGAAATCAACGTCTATAAGTCACCGTACGGCCTTCGACAATAAGCAAAGCCTACACCGCATAGTCAGCTATAAAAGGCCCCGAAATCAAAAATGTAAAACAATTCAATCGAGAAAACTAACGGCCGAATTAATGTACAAAAAAATGAAAGAAACACAAATATGTACAACAAAGCAACAAACGGCAACCACAGGATTACAGGTTTTTGACTTGGGACAAGCACATACATACAGAATGTAGCGGGGTTTAACATGTTAGCGGGATCCCAATCCTCCCCTAATCTGGGACAGCGGTGTAACAGTACAACAACATGTTTGTGAGCAACCCATCCCGAAGCTGGGACAGTGGTGTAACAGTACAATAAAATAACAACCTGCACAAATCAGCAAATTAACTCAAAAGATCGGTACGAGACACACAAAAAACTAACATTAAGACAATAAGCACCGACATAAGAGTATTTGCAATTACTGGAAGTTTGCTCAAACCTAATTACAACTGGTACTGAAATAAATCTTGTTCTCCCAGACTGAGTTATCAATCAGTACACAACGTGCGGCAAAGGATTTAATAATAAAAAAGGAAACAGTCTGAGAAACGTCTGGTTTACGTTGTATATAGATATTAGATGATGTGGTATGAGTGCCGATGAGACAACTCTCCATCCAAGTCATAATTTGTAAATGTAAACCATTAAAGGTCAACGTACGGTCTTCAACACGGAGCCTTGGCTCACACCGAACAGCAAGCTATAAAGGGCCCCCAAAACATTAGTAGTGTAAAACCATCCAAACGGGAAAACCAGCGGTGTCTAAACTATTTAAATAAACCGAGATACTTGCATATAAATCCATATACAATAAAACGGTTTTTGAAAAGTGGACCGAACGTTTTGACCATCAAAATTTTGCAATAGAAATACTAGTTATGACCACAAGATTTTAACAGCCAGTGCAGGACTCGCACGAATGTTAGATTTAGTTAGAGGGCGATATTCTGACGCGTTTTTTAATTCTTGGTCACCCATGTTTAGAAAGAAAGGGGAGAAATCCAAACAATTTCCGACCAATCACAAACGTTGTTGCAAATTTGACCTTATGACGTCAAAGAATTTCCCATAATGCAATTATTGCATATAAATAAAAAAACTACTATACCAATTGAATAAAAAGTATTGCATTCAAATGACATTTTATACCAATTGAATATAAACTATTGCATTTGAATGAAAATTATACCATTTGAATGAAAAATATACCATTTGAATGAAAAATATACCATTTGAATGAAAAATTATACCATTTCAATAACAAATATTGCATTTAAATGAAAAAATATACCATTCAAATAAAAAAATATTGCATTTAAATGAAGAAATATACCAATTAAATAAGAAATATTGCATTTAAATAAAAAATATCAATTTTTTGCAACCAATACCATACCATAGACAGGTATAAAAAAAAATCATAAAATAGTCAGTAAATATATATTAAGATTTTGCATTTTTTTCAAAAAGTAATGGGTTGTAAGGTTATTTTGTATATTCATGAAAATTTAATCAATGTATTCCAAGTATTCGTGCCTAACATTTTCTACTTAACACCTGGTTTAATCCATCATTTCTACATTAGGAAATGCTTGTACCAAGTCAGGAATATGATAGTTGTTTTCCATTCGTTTGATGTGTTTGAGCTTTTCATTTAGCTATTTGTTAATGGATTCTCCGTGGTTTTAGTTTTCCTTGCAGTTCTGATTGTTTGTTATTTTACTTTTTAAACATTGTTAAATATTACGTTCTAGATTTTGGAATTTTTTTTTTAAAGTTATAAACATATATAACATTGTTAATATATGATACTTAAATCGATATTGCTTTGTATAGTGTCTTTTTCTAGACATGATGCATAATAAAACGTACGTTGTGCTGTTTGTTGTACTGCTGTTGACCCTTCCGTCTAGTGTAGGAGGTAAGATTTAGAAAAGACAAATCAGATTTTGTTTTACTATCTGGTTGGTTATACAGAATAATGAAACCTATTTTAGTTGCAAAAACATGTATTATGGTTTGTGGAATGTACAACTTTGGTATATACAAATCGTTCCAGAATTTGAAATTCCTAAATTAAAATAAATATTGTTTATCTTAATGTTGACTTTCAAAAGAAGATAACTATAAATATGAAATACTTAAATATAGTTACGAATGCTATATTATAATTGCCGAAAAGCTACTAACCCTGAGTTAATGTAACCTTTGTAATTGACCAGCCCTGCAGTAGTTGGTGATGACGTACTAATTTTAATACAAGGATAAATACTTATAGTCCGTTTGACTTCTATAAATCTTCAGAAAATAATTCTTAAAAATTTATTTTTACAAATAAACATTTTTTTTCTTGATGTATGTTAATGTATGATATATACGAACTCTGACTATGAATATCATAATTTTGGGCCAATAATCAAAAAAGTTACCCATTAGGTCTCTATGTTACTTCTATTTTGTTCTATATAAAATACTTGATGGAGTAAGTATGAATAGTGTAACAGCCTTCCATTCAAAACAAAAACATTAGACATGTGTTTTAAACCTGTTTCATTGTACCATGTGACTTCACTCATTTAAATATCAAAGGACATAATACATGTCATGAAAAATGACCATCATCTAAGTATTTTTATAACTGGTTTTATATGATTTTATAAATGAACTTGCATGTATCTACAAAGTTGTTATTTGTGGGAAAAAATATTATAATCAGATGTTTTATTTTGTTTTTATTCCTTACCAAATCTTAATTTTTGTTACCTTAATTTGATTATATATTTATATATATCTTATAAAAGAATATAAGCAAGCTTTTCATGCTTAAAGCATGATGACAGTATTAACAAAATGGAGAGCCTCAAAAAAGTTTCACCAATAAGTATTTATAGAATACATTTAATATTTACTTTTTTCTTGAAAAAACACAGCTTATGACTTTCAAAATATGAAAATAAAATTAGATAAAATATAACCATAAAGACCTTTACTGACGAAAAGGGGAACTTTTTAATAAAATTTCTAAACTGAATTTTGCATAAAACTACTATGTAGGTTTTAAAAATGTTATACTAGTAATGTCCAGTGGAAAATATTACTAAGGTTACTCAAAGAAATTGAACAATGAAAAATACAAATTCATATATACAATAAGTTCAGTAATCACATGACATATAACTTAAATGAAGTCAAAGTTTGTTTGCTGTTCAGCGTTATTTAAATGAGAAAAGTCACATGGTATAATGAAACAGGTTTAAAGCACATGTCTTATGTTTTTGTTTTGAATGGAAGGCTGTTACACTATTCATACTTACTCCATCAAGTATTTTATATAAAAAAAAAATAGAAGTAACAAAGAGACCTAATGGGTAACTTTTTTTATTATTGGCTTAAAATTATGATATTCATAGTCAGAGTTCGTATATATCATACATTAACATACATCAAGAAAAAAAATGTTTATTTGTAAAAATGAATTTTTAAGAATTATTTTCTGAAGATTTATAGAAGTCAAACGGACTATACTTCTTGAAGAGCTTTACGATCAAAAGGACCTACATAGAATATACACATCTAATATCAACCTAAATATAAACATATGCGAATGAATAAAAATAACAAGTAACAAAAAGATGAAATATAGCAGTACAGAATGAGTACGTGACAAAATGTGAATTTAAATAAATGCACCATATATTTATTTATGATAATAATTTAATTTCGTCAGGTGGACCAATATGCTACTATTCGTGTCTTGCCTCCGTTGGAGCGGCTGCGTTATTTGGGACAGCAGCCATACTACCAGTTCTTGGTTTTACATCTTCTGGAATAACAGCCGGATCATGGGCTGCAACATGGATGGCTTCGTTTGGAGGTGCTGTACCTGCCGGTAGTGTGTTTGCTACTTTTCAATCGGCAGGAATGACGGGGGCAACTACGAAATTGGCCGCTGCAGCTACTGGTTCCGCTTCTGCCATATGTGTTGCCATTTGCGCACTTTCCCCATAAATAGAGATCATTTGTTTAAGTTTAACACACTTTACAATGTACTTAATCCAACTTTGTACTTGTTTCGGTCCTAGAATAATTTGATTTGAGTGTCACTGATGAGTCCTTTGTAGTGTAGACTAATCGGGTTTATGGCATACAGGATTAAAAGCCTAATATCTTTAATGATTTTGTAAATGTTTTCTTGATCAACATATAAACATGATTCAGTATATTTTTTATCAAAACTATTGTATTATTATAGTGCAAGCATATGCAAAATCTTTAGTTCAAATATAAATAAAACATGTGCATGTAAAACGTATTTATGTTTAAAATTTAAATATACTTAATCATCTAAACGTGAAGGGTGATATTTGTAAAATGGCATATACAGATAAAATCTTTTTTATGAACGCTCAATAACTTTTTGCCTGTTAATCATATTTGACTTGTAGTTAAACAAAAACAGGTTAATTTAAAGAACAACCATTTACGACAAGTTTTTAATTATTTTATCTTTGTTTCTAACACACGTCAGTATGAATATATTTTGAACAATTAAGCATTGTTAACATGGCATTATAATGACTTTTTCGTCGTTATTAAAGGTATTTCTTACAATGATTTCACAAAGCTATTAAAATACATTAAGTATAAAAGACAACTGACTAAAGCAATAACGTCTACATGCGTACAGAAATATTATAAGGAAAAGTTTATGAAGCAGTGCATGTTTTGCATCTTTTGTTTACACATTATAGTGCATTAGCATTAATTGCGCATACACATTTAACTGTTTAGTAAATCACTTCCGTGAAAATAAGGTAAGGTTTAAATATATTCACACGAGTACTGTTACGAATTAGTAATCGTATGATTAAATTAATTGATCTGGTATTGTCCGTAATTTTTTTCTAGTAATTTTATGAATCAGATGTTTTATTTACTCTTTTATATCACTGTTTCGATGATGGAATTTCTCCTCGTACAGAATATTCACGGTTGGTTAGCAGATACGCATATGATAAATGATGTAAGAATGTGTTTATCTTTTAACTTATTTATTTTCTTAGTTTCTCTAAGAAGACGCCACGCTTGTTGGCGAAACATGTCGACCAGAATAAACTCTAACCATGCGGAAATTGATGGATGTGGTTGTCTTTAGTATCGTTTTATTTCCTTAATGTAATACATTTTGTGTTATCCGTAATCATCTAAATCTCAACAGTGCCATAGTTTATTTACTCGAGCAGCCATTTTAATTGTGTATTAGCGGTTTATTACACAAGATTGCTTGTTTACATAACAAACGTTTTGATTGGCTGGTCTACTGACCCCAAAACTATAAATAGAAGGTTGACAAAACTAACTTAGATATGATCGCATCGTCTACAAGAGCAGCCAAAAAAAGCTTGTCGTTATATTTAGTCAACCTTGTGAAAATGTCCCAGCCACAGACAACCTTAAGTCTGGTACGCAGCTTTTAAATGTTTTAAGAAAACTAAACTTTCTACGTTAGAGTTACACATTGCTATTGTTTGTTTTGCAGAAGTCAACATGCAACCTTCAACCGTCGTTCCACTTAGTCAACCTTCTATTGTTACGATAATATGAGAGAGGTTTTCTGGAAATCTACTTTCAATTTAACAGAAAGAAATAAGATAAATGAATATTTTATTGAATCTATCATTATAATTATATTATATTATCAGTATATTCTAAAAATGCCCATGTGCTTATTCAATTATTTGTTTAATCTCTGATTGTCAATAAAGAACCTCTTTTTTGTTAAAGGCAATTTATGTTGCCCATTAAATGTTTTGTATTTTGTTATTTGTCTTCAGAATTCTATCTCAATGAGGTATACCTCAAATCTCCTTGTATTAAAACAGGAATTTTTACCAGTCTGATGATTTGATTGCTGTATCGTTCAAATAATTACCAGAATCTACCACAATGTTTTCTATAGAACGAGAGACGTCAGCAACTTTAGGTCACCACACGTCCTCAACTTTGATCAAAAGCTATACTGCATAGCAAGCTCACCACAAATTGGTTGACCGTTTTGGAAAATCCGTTTCACAGATGCAAGCGAATATGTTTGTTATGTCATAATACAATATCGTCCCCTTTTCTGAATGTTACCTACTGAATACAACTTATTACTGGATTTGTACTAACATAAGTAACATGACGGGCGCCACATGTGAAGCAGGATTTGCTTGCTCTTCCGGAACGCCTGAGATGTCCCCAGTTTGAAATATAATTACACTATTCAAACGAGAAATCTAACAAGTGGTGTAAAAGCACCAACATAATAACCAATTATAAAAATTAGTTTGAAAAGAGCACTACTCATCAGATACAGCTTGCTATATAGATCAAAGCCAATAACATCTTATAAAAAATCATGTTTCTAATACCTGTTCTTGAATGAATTTTAAGAAAGTAATAGGGCTAATAGTTTGCAGATGTGTGATTCAATCCCGTATGAGCCTATACAAAGCTTAACAGTTTAATCCGTTAACATAACCCTCAACCTTGACATCAAATCGACACTTAATATATTTATTTTGATTAAATGTGCTACTGAAAATGGTGATATTGATTTGACGACTCGCATAAATATGTTATAATGATTTGCCAAAGTAAATATTTCTAGCTACATGTAACATGTGTAATGACTTTTTTTATTGTTTTATTGTGTCCAGGATTGCGCACATTTTCATTTATGCTGTGTTCACTCCTCTTCAAAATCATTTGCTTCATCGGTTTAACAAATTCCCTTCTCAATCAACTCATTCCTATCATCATACAATGCGCAACAACTCAAAAGAACTTTACCCGCCTTCTAACATGATAAGATATTCAAGGGGACAAAATCTTCCCTCTAATGCTGCAAGTGTACGCTCAATCTCTGTAGTCTTTTGTTATCATTGATTACTACCAGGCCAGAATATATACTATGAATGCACTTTTACACAAAAAGCATCAAACAGACATCGAACGATGTCAAATACAGCATACTCGTAAACTTGAAAGTTGTCGACAATATTTTGTTAAGTCATCTGGCTTGATTCATATTTGACCGCCTCGGTGGTCTCGTGGTAGCGTGTTTGCCTCAAGTGCGCGCGGTCGTGGTTACGACCCCGACCAGGTCAAACCAAAGACTTTCAAATTGGTATTTGCTGCTTTCAAATTGGTATTTGCTGCTTCTCAGCTAAGCACGCGGCATTAAGGTGTAATACCACCATTGATTTTCCCCTATTAGTCTTTGTTAAATTTGCACTTTTCAAAAAATTGTGCAGAATTTATCTTTGTTTCAAATAAAGAAATACTTGGCATGAGTAAAGGTTTATCCTGTCCAGTACTATAGAAAAAATTTCACATAACATTTCATTGCATATAAGAAAATAACCATCACTGGAAGTTAACCAATCAAATTTTCCCCCTTTTTTAACCTGTGTACAAGCTTTAGTAACCATGTAACCTCAAGTTTCCAAAATATTCTATAGAAACCCCAAATAAAGAAATAATGGTGCTTTGAAATACCCAAGATATATGTTTATGACTCAGAAATGTTTTACTGCAATGAAATGTAGGATCAATTACCTACAACTGTCAAATTCAAGGGAATATTTTTTTTCGACCTATTTTCGTATGCAACCGGATGTGACGTACTATGATTTGGTGGTATTACACCTAAAGAAGACTTTATTGTTGAATAAACTGAATGTGACTTTTTTCCTTTGTAATACTGGTTATTTCAAGCATTCCTGTCAAGTTTTGTCATAATCAGTTCAATAGTTTGAGAAAAATCTAGTATAATGTAAGACGACATCTACAGCGATTCGAGCAAAATTTCTTCGAAAAATTCAAACCAAGCCGCATCATGATAGAATATAGTGTGGACCAATAAATGATCAAATATTTATCTCATCTGCCTACAAACAGTTGAATATGATACAAAAGATGACTTTAGGATGATAAATACTACTAATGGACCTCTTATTCTTCCTTATAAAGTCTCTTTTGGTCCATTTATACCTCTCATTTCCTCAAAATTTCTACTTTTTAGGCCAATAAATAAAAGTTTTGGGGTAACTTTCACTCATTTATGATAGAAATGTTATTATAAATGATTAATTGAAGTATTCAAGCTGCTTGAACTATCCGTATAAAAGTTTACTGTCTCCAAGGAGGTTTCAATAAGTCCTTGCGTAAAACTTAAATTTACGCCGCGTTCCAGAGAGGGACATAAAAAACTTCTCTTTTGGTGAATAATTTGTTGTTACTGCTTTAAAAATAATTTCATTTACTTAAAACTATATATTTTTACTAAAGTATTTCTTAAGAAAAATTTTCTAGTTTAGCAGAATATTAGAAATAAGGAGAAAAAGCTCCCCAAGACTCTAAGTATGGCTTGTTCTGTCAACTAATATTCATGGTAAAGTCCTATTTCAAGGAAATTTTCTCATAAAATGTATTTTGGAGACTCAATCCACTCAGAATATTTCATTATTTGTAATATTTCACTTAAATAGCAAGAAATTTTAACACATGAGAGTACTCACAAGGTCAAAGGTGCATGTACAGCTTCCCATATTAGGTGTAATACCACCATTGATTTTCCCCTATTAGTCTTTGTTAAATTTGCACTTTTCAAAAAATTGTGCAGAATTTATCTTTGTTTCAAATAAAGAAATACTTGGCATGAGTAAAGGTTTATCCTGTCCAGTACTATAGAAAAAATTTCACATAACATTTCATTGCATATAAGAAAATAACCATCACTGGAAGTTAACCAATCAAATTTTCCCCCTTTTTTAACCTGTGTACAAGCTTTAGTAACCATGTAACCTCAAGTTTCCAAAATATTCTATAGAAACCCCAAATAAAGAAATAATGGTGCTTTGAAATACCCAAGATATATGTTTATGACTCAGAAATGTTTTACTGCAATGAAATGTAGGATCAATTACCTACAACTGTCAAATTCAAGGGAATATTTTTTTTCGACCTATTTTCGTATGCAACCGGATGTGACGTACTATGATTTGGTGGTATTACACCTAAAGAAGACTTTATTGTTGAATAAACTGAATGTGACTTTTTTCCTTTGTAATACTGGTTATTTCAAGCATTCCTGTCAAGTTTTGTCATAATCAGTTCAATAGTTTGAGAAAAATCTAGTATAATGTAAGACGACATCTACAGCGATTCGAGCAAAATTTCTTCGAAAAATTCAAACCAAGCCGCATCATGATAGAATATAGTGTGGACCAATAAATGATCAAATATTTATCTCATCTGCCTACAAACAGTTGAATATGATACAAAAGATGACTTTAGGATGATAAATACTACTAATGGACCTCTTATTCTTCCTTATAAAGTCTCTTTTGGTCCATTTATACCTCTCATTTCCTCAAAATTTCTACTTTTTAGGCCAATAAATAAAAGTTTTGGGGTAGCTTTCACTCATTTATGATAGAAATGTTATTATAAATGATTAATTGAAGTATTCAAGCTGCTTGAACTATCCGTATAAAAGTTTACTGTCTCCAAGGAGGTTTCAATAAGTCCTTGCGTAAAACTTAAATTTACGCCGCGTTCCAGAGAGGGACATAAAAAACTTCTCTTTTGGTGAATAATTTGTTGTTACTGCTTTAAAAATAATTTCATTTACTTAAAACTATATATTTATTAAAGTATTTCTTAAGAAAAATTTTCTAGTTTAGCAGAATATTAGAAATAAGGAGAAAAAGCTCCCCAAGACTCTAAGTATGGCTTGTTCTGTCAACTAATATTCATGGTAAAGTCCTATTTCAAGGAAATTTTCTCATAAAATGTATTTTGGAGACTCAATCCACTCAGAATATTTCATTATTTGTAATATTTCACTTAAATAGCAAGAAATTTTAACACATGAGAGTACTCACAAGGTCAAAGGTGCATGTACAGCTTCCCATATTAGGTGTAATACCACCATTGATTTTCCCCTATTAGTCTTTGTTAAATTTGCACTTTTCAAAAAATTGTGCAGAATTTATCTTTGTTTCAAATAAAGAAATACTTGGCATGAGTAAAGGTTTATCCTGTCCAGTACTATAGAAAAAATTTCACATAACATTTCATTGCATATAAGAAAATAACCATCACTGGAAGTTAACCAATCAAATTTTCCCCCTTTTTTAACCTGTGTACAAGCTTTAGTAACCATGTAACCTCAAGTTTCCAAAATATTCTATAGAAACCCCAAATAAAGAAATAATGGTGCTTTGAAATACCCAAGATATATGTTTATGACTCAGAAATGTTTTACTGCAATGAAATGTAGGATCAATTACCTACAACTGTCAAATTCAAGGGAATATTTTTTTTCGACCTATTTTCGTATGCAACCGGATGTGACGTACTATGATTTGGTGGTATTACACCTAAAGAAGACTTTATTGTTGAATAAACTGAATGTGACTTTTTTCCTTTGTAATACTGGTTATTTCAAGCATTCCTGTCAAGTTTTGTCATAATCAGTTCAATAGTTTGAGAAAAATCTAGTATAATGTAAGACGACATCTACAGCGATTCGAGCAAAATTTCTTCGAAAAATTCAAACCAAGCCGCATCATGATAGAATATAGTGTGGACCAATAAATGATCAAATATTTATCTCATCTGCCTACAAACAGTTGAATATGATACAAAAGATGACTTTAGGATGATAAATACTACTAATGGACCTCTTATTCTTCCTTATAAAGTCTCTTTTGGTCCATTTATACCTCTCATTTCCTCAAAATTTCTACTTTTTAGGCCAATAAATAAAAGTT